GTATGCGGTGGGGCAATTACATCAACAATTGATTGCATCTCTTTGACAAACAAATTGTAAATAACATCGGGATCTTTTAAATCAAACGGACCACTAATAAAGGATTGAGAAAAAAGATTTTCAAACAATGTACTCTGGATACGATCCCATGGCCGAACTAATTTTTTTAATATTATAGGCTTCCTATTAACAAATGAAAAAATAACCTTGATGAAGCTATGGTCTGAATGAACATCACATGAAAATATCGTGCAATCCTTAGGTGGAAAACCAACCAATGAAACGACGAGATCGAGTTTTCCACCCAAGATATGGGTGGGTCCATCAACTCGACAACAAACCTGAAACGACTCAACAATATCCAACAATTTAATGGCATTTAATTTTTTACATCTTTCAATGTGAATATTAAAATCACCGGCAACAACCAAAAAATCAGATGAAACTGAAATGTCTTCTAAAACCAATATCAATTTATCAAAAAACAATGCAGAAACTGGAACAGAATCAGGTATGTAAATGGCTAACAAAACAACATTTGGTTTATTTAAAAAAAACTTGTAGTGATGGCTTCAAAGTTCTGAATTGGGGGAAGTTCAACTTTTTTTAAATTGAAAAAACTTAAAAAAAAAATTATACCACCATCGTTAGGATCACTAGGTGTAATAAAATCAACGTATGAATAATTAAGTGGCATGGCTAAACGAACAGTATCAACCCCCAGTGAACCATGCCATGACCCAGTGATAACAAAAATGTCTAAATCCGCAGACAAAAAATTATAAATAATTCTAATTTTGACGTAATAGTCCTTATATTAACGCTAAATTAAAAAATAATTTGTGGCGTTTTGGGTAGCTTGATGATTTTCCAACGTCCGATCGGACTTATACCTTGAACAAAAAATTCTCACTACCAGCCTCCTTGGTTTTAGCCTCAGACACCAGTGATTTGAGCTCAGAACGTTGCTCTGGAGTCAAATCATGGCTAATTTTAACTTTATTTAATTCACCGTCGAATGACTTTATTTTAAAAGACGCTCTCATAATCAACAATTTGAATGTAGCGTCACCGAACCTAACGATGACAGGTCGACAAACTTTGTCGCTTTTTCTTCCTTGTCTTGAAATTGCCAAAGCGTTGTTGATACTGAAAGCATCACCGGCTAAGGACTTTAAAAGAGACATAACAACATCTCTGTTTTTACTTTCAGACAGATTAAATTAAACAATGTTGTTTTCTCGTTCTTTATTATCATTAACTGTATTCAACGTCTCTTCGACAGTTTTTACTTCAGTGGATATAGCATCAATATTTTTCT